GGGGCTCCCACAGAGCCGGCTGGGGAGCAGGGAAGCACAGTCAGCCAGGTGGGACTCACAGAACAACACAACTCACTGAGCCACGGGGCTGGAAGAGACCTCCAAGCATCGAGTGCAACCCAGCCCCAACACCTCAACTCAACCTTGGCACTCAGTGCCACATCCAGGCTTTGTTAAACACATCCAGAGATGGTGATTCCACCATCTTCCCAGTCCCAAAATTCCCAGAATTCCCAGAATGACCAGGTTGGAAAAGACCTTCGAGATCATTGAGTCCAACCCAGCCACAACACCTCAACTCAACCCTGGCACCCAGTGCCAATCCAGCCTTGTTTAAACACACCTAGGGATGGTTACTCCAGTCCCAAAATTCACAGAATGACCAGGTTGGAAGAGACCTTTGAGATCATTGAGTCCAACCCAGCTCCAACACCTCAACTCAACCCTGGCACCCAGAGCCACATCCAGCCTTGTTTAAACACACCCAGGGATGGCGACTTCACCACCTCCCCAGTCCCTGGTCCCCAAATTCCCAGAATTCTGAGTCACAGGGTTGGAAAAGACCCTCAAGATCAAGTCCAACCCAGGCCCAACCCCTCAACTCAGCCCTGGCACCCAGTGCCAATCCAGGCTTTGTTAAACACACCCAGGGCAGTGCCCATCTCCCTGGCAGCCATCCCAGTGCCCAGTCACTCTTTCTGTGAAGGATTTTTTCCTCATGTTCAGCCTGAACTCCCCCTGGCACAGCTGCAGGCTGTGTCCTCCTGTCCTGGTGACCACTCCAGACCTTGTGGGAATGGTGTGAGCACAAAGGACAGAACAGAATGACCAGGTTGGAAGAGACCTCCAAGATCATCGAGTCCAACCCAGCTCCAAGCCCTCAAGTCAACCCTGGCATCCAGAGCCACATCCAGCCTTGTTTAAACACCTCCAGGGATGGTTACTCCAGTCCCAAAATTCACAGAATGACCAGGTTGGAAAAGACCTTCAAGATCATTGAGTCCAACCCAGCCCCAATACCTCAACTCAACCCTGGCCCCCAGAGTCACATCCAGCCTTGTTTAAACACCTCCAGGGATGGCGACTTCACCACCTCCCCAGTCCCTGGTCCCCAAATTCCCAGAATTCAGAGTCACAGGATTGGAAAAGACCCTCAAGATCAGATCCAACCCAGGCCCAACCCTCAACTCAGCCCTGGCATCCAGTGCCAATCCAGGCTTTGTTAAACACGTCTAGAGATGGTGATTCCACCATCTTCCCAGTCCCCAAATTCCCAGAATTCAGAGTCACAGGGTTGGGAAAGACCTTCAAGATCATCAAATCCAACCCAGCCCCAACACCTCAACTCAACCCTGCCACCCAGAGCCACATTCAGGCTTTGTTAAACACATCCAGAGATGGTGATTCCACCATCTTCCCAGTCCCAAAATTCACAGAATTCACAGAATGACCAGGTTGGAAAGGACCTTCAAGATCATCAAATCCAACCAAGCTCCAAGACCTCACCCAAACCCTGGCACCCAGTGCCAATCCAGCCTTGTTTAAACACACCTAGGGATGGTTACCCAGTCCCAAAATTCCCAAAATTCACAGAATGACCAGGTTGGAAAAGACCTTCAAGATCATCAAATCCAACCCAGCTCCAACACCTCAACTCAACCCTGGCACCCAGAGCCACATCCAGGCTTTGTTAAACACCCCCAGGTATGGTGACTCCACCACCTCCATTCCAGAACTTTACCACTTTCTGTAAATCCCTTTTTCCTGCTATCCAACCCCAATTTCCCTTGGTGCAGCTCGAGGCTGTGTGCTGTGGCTGTGTCCGTTCCTGCAGACAGAGCCCAGCCCCAGCTGAGCACGGGCCCCTTTCAGGAGCTGTGAGAGTGATGGGGGCACCCCTGGGTCTCCTTTGCTCCAGGCTGAGCCCCCCCAGCTCCCCCAGGGCTTCCTCACAGGGTTTGTGCTCCAGACACCTCTGGACACCCTCCTAAATTGGGGGGTCAGAACTGGACACAGCACTTGAGGGTCAGAGCCACCAACCCCAGGGAAAACACCTTTCTAAGCAACCTGCTGCAGGAAGAACCCAGAGCTGGGCACAGCTCAGATGAGGTGTTAAAAAAGGAGATGCCAGGAAGAGGAAAATGTTGAGCTTGAGTTTATAAACCATCCAAAACACGGACAATTTATTTTTCTTACTAAAAAATTGAAAAGCTTAATGTTTCTTACTTTAAACCTCCCAAACTCACTAAATTTTAGTATTTTTACTAAAATTTAAATTTACTAAAATTTACTAAAAGGGTGAGGTTGTGGAAGAGGTTGTCTAGAGAAGCTGTGGACTGATACCCCTGGAGGTGTCCAAGGCCAGGCTTGGAGCACCCTGGGACAGGAGAAGGTGTCCCTGCCATGGCAGAGGTGGCACTGGCTGGGATTTAAGGTCCCTTCCACCCCAAACCATTTCAAGATTAAAACTTCCAGTGTGAGAATTAATTCAGGTTGGTGATTTTTGCATTCAGCAAAACAGCAAGGTTTACTGAGGCTACATAAATCAGCAACCACACACCTGGTGTAGGTGTGGACACCTGATTATTCCCATTTTTTTATTCCTGGCCTTGTTTTCCAGGCAGGTTAGAAAACAAGAGCTCCTCTAACTCACTGCCTGTGTGCACGAGCAGCACCTCCCCTGCCAGACATGAGTGTGCAAAGCTTTACCTGATTAATTCAAGCTGAGCCAGTTCCAGATTGGCTTGAAAAATAGGCTTCTTTGTAAACAGTTCCCCGAGGATACAGCTGGAAGGAGGAAAAGCAAGAGGTCACGACAGCAAACCCTGGGGACGGGCGGCTGAACACGGCAGCGCTTGTGCCGTGCCTGAGGAGAGGGATTTGCATCAGGGCTTGTAGTGACAAAGTGACCTGTGTGTAGTGACAAAGTGACCTGTGTGGGCTCCTGGGAATCACCTCCTGCAAGGGGCTGCTCCTGCAGGANCCCAACTGCCCCGTTCCTGCCTTTGGGAAGTGAGGTTTGCTGAGGACACCAGGCTACAGCAGGGGGGTGAGGATGGCAATGGATGAGGATGGCAATGGATGAGGATGGCAATGGATGAGGATGGCAATGGAAACCCCAACCCCACAGCAGTGCAATCACAGCCTGGCCCCTCCTGAGATGCCCACAGGCCCAAATCACTCCCTCCAGCACCGGGAAGGCTTCCCAGGATGCAGCTGGGATGCAGGAAGGGCGTGTGCCCTGACACAGCACCAGGAATTAGGTCAAGCAGAAGGCAATGCCTTGCTGGGAGCTGGCCTGGGATCACAGGGCTCTGTCCTGACCTGCAAGGATCCAGGTTATCCTAAAATACATCCTGGGAGTGGCATCACCTCCCTTCACAGCCCAATGACAAGTGACAAGGGTGTCCCTTCACGCTGACAGTGACGCTGGAACTTTTTGGGAATAAGGGTGGCAAGGCTTTGGTTTCAGCAGCTTAAAATGGAGCTGCTCTGGCTGGTAGGCAATGGAGAAGGGGACATTCTTCTCCCAGCTGTTTGTTAATCCAAGCACCACCTTTTGTCCATCTGCCATGTTTCACTGAACACATGGATTGTGCATTCCCTGGAGCAAGAACTGTCTTCCTCGTTACTTGTCAGCACAGCACTGGGCACAAAGGAAGCCTTAGCCCATATCTGGGTTTTTCTAAGGCTTCTACAGAACAATCAGGGCAGCTTTGTGTAAATCCACGTTCCTCCCCTCCAACTATTTGCTGGGCATGGGGGGTTTCATCACTGTTTGGAACAGTGCACAAGTCCAGGATCTGTCAGTCTGGGTGACCTTTTCTGCATCAAATGCAATAATTTTCATTTTTGCCCACCAGCCTGACACTTCCCACCCCTAATCTTTCATATAATTTATCAACAAGATCAAACTTCAGCTCATTGCACACCCTGGACGTGGCTCCACCTGCCAGCCTAGGATTCCTATGATTTGTTTCTCCACTGGCTGAAGTGACTCAACGACTCCTTTCATCATTCAGCCTCTTTGAGAACTAATAACACAGCTCAGAACAAATTCACAGTCAGCTCATCAGTGACTTCTGAGGACCAGACAGAACCTTCTGCCTCTTCACAGCAGAGAGAAAAAAAAAACAAAAACAAACTAAAAGAAATGAGGACAGGAAGAGCCTGGAATGCCCTTTCTGCAGAGAGTTAGAGGTGAAAGAACCAGACTGGCTAAAAAACAAACCCAAAGCAAGGAACACACCAGGAACCTTTTCCACACCCAGGTGGGCACTGACCTACTGCATCTGCAGCACCAGGCTCTGCTTTGAGCTGGGCAGGCTGGGGGGGCACAGGACTGCTGTTGTTTTTCACAGTGTCTGTGCTTGGAACAGAGGTAGCTTCTTTCCGAGAAACTTTTGATACCGGAGGCTCCTCCACGGCCATCCCGCTCTGCCGCTGCCGCCGCCGCTTCTTGCTCCACAGCTCGTGGCAATCCTGCCAGTGGGGGAGGCTGCAAGACAGGGGAAAACATGGCAGGGAAACCTCAGAACTCACAGGAAGCCCTTAGTGCAGATGGTGTTGCCCCTGGATCCCTGCAAGTGGCCAAGGGCAGCTTGGATGGGGTTGGGAGCCACCCTGGCATGGTGGGAGCTGTCCCTGCCCATGGCAGGGGTGGCACTGGNAAAAAAGAGGAGAAAAAAAAAAAAAAAAGAAAAAGAAAAAAGCACGATCACAACTGGCTCGTGGTGGGCGGGTGTTGAAGGCACGAGAACACAGCACGTTCAGCTACATTGCAGGAGGTGGGATCGGGCCAAAACAGGCTCCCCGGAGAGTCTGAGACAAACTCAGGAGGCGCTTCTACAATTTGGTGAGGTCGTCACAGGCTGTTGCTAATAAATTCAAAAAATCAACAGAAACAAAAAAAAAAAAAAGACATGGAGACATTTACACTCACCTTTGGAAAGGAAATCCGAGAGCTCACTGACACAAGCAGGGGGTTTTAAACTCGTTTTGGTTCAAAAATCAGCTCCAGGTAGAACCAGGCACTTGTGGGTGCTCAGGTTTTACTCACACAGCTGCCACTATCCCTCCCTTCAGCACTCACCACTATTTCAGCTCTTTAAAATCATCTCTGCAGGTTTATTTATTTATTTAAGAGGGGATGGTGAAAAAGAGCTGGGAAAAATGCAGAGGTGCAGCAGCATCCTGTGCAAAAAACCTCCCTGGATGTGCAAACTGATTGCTGGGGGGCGTTTGAGGAACAACTGACCCTCCAAACTTCCCTTGTGCTTTTGGGCAAACCCCAAAACCTCCAATTCACCTGCACTGGCCCACTCCCAGTGGAGCACTGATGGATTTTGGGGCAATATTTGCCTGTTTGGGCTGTTTAGAGCTGTTCAACCTCCTGAGCTGTCCAGCACTTACCGCAGCAAGGGGAGTCAGGGTCTTTCCTCCTGATGTCCAACCACATCCTACCCCCTTCCCTCCTCCCATCCACACCCCTGCTGCCTCTCTGCCATCACTCCAAGCCCTCATTGCTGGCTGCAGCACTCTCTGGGATGCTCCCACCAGGTGTGTGGTGTTTCTCATTTACCTGTGCTCTCCTCGGCGTGCCTCGTCGGGCTTTTCCTGGAGCCGCGCTGCTCGCTGCTCTTCTCGCCGTTGCTCTCCTCCAGGGTTATCCCAGGCTCCTGGCTCTTCATCAGCTGACTCAGCAGAACTGCCAGCACGTTCTGCATGTCTCCCTGAGCGCTGGCTGCCTCCGGAGTCTGCTGCTCCTCCTGCACCTCTGCGGGCGGCTCCTCCGCCGCCGCCTCCTCCGCTGCTGCCGCCGCCGCCGGGGGCTCGTGGTGCTGCTGCGCCGTGGCCTCGGTCAGGGCCGTGATGGACTGGTTGAGAGCCTCCAGCTGCTGCTGCATCTCGGGGTTGGAGTGCACGTTGAGCAGCTGGGCCATCTGGGGCACGCTCAGGTCGGTCTGGCTCTGCAGCAGGTTCAGCAGCACGGCCAGCTCGCTCTGGTTCAGCTGCTGGGTGATGTCGCCCAGGCCTGCGGGACACACGGGGAGGGGCGGTGGGGTGGTGAGGGGTGGGATTGTGGTATTGCACAAAGGTGGTGAACAGCCCTTGCCCACATCCCATTGTCAGATACAGCCCTTGCCCACGTCCCAGAGCCAGGAACAGCCCTTACCCACAGCTCACAGTAATGAACAGACATTCCCCACAGCCAGGAACAGCCCTTCCCATGTCCCACAGCCATGATCCACATCCCACAGCCATGATCCACATCCCACAGCCAGGAACAGCCCTTACCCACATCCCATTGTCAGGAACAGCCCTTCCCAATATCTCATAGCCAGGAACAGCCCTTACCCATAGTCAGGAACAGCTCTTACCCACATCCCACAGCAAAGAACAGCCCTTCCCCATACCCCACAGCCACGATCCACATCCCACAGCCACGATCCACATCCCAGAGCCAGGAACAGCTCTTCCCATGTCCCACAGCCAGGAACAGCCCCTACCCATAGCCAGGAACAGCCCATACCCACATTCCACAGTCAGGAACAGCCTGTACCCATGTCCCAGAGCCATGATCCACATCCCAGAGCCATGAACAGCCCTTACCCACATTCCACAGCCAGGAAGAGCCCTTCCTCACATCCCAGAGCCCTTCCTCACATCCCAGAGCCATGATCCACATCCCACAGCAATGAACAGCCCTTACCCACATCCCATTGTCAGGAACAGCCCTTCCTAATGTCTCATAGCCAGGAACAGCTCTTACCCACATCCCATTGTCAGGAACAGCTCTTACCCGTATCCCATAGCCAGGAACAACCCTTCCCCACATCCCACAGCAAAGAACAGCCTTTCCCCACATCCCAGAGCCATGATATACATCCACCAGCAATCAACACCCCTTCTGCATGTCCCACAGCAAGCAACATCCTTTTTCCATGTCCCACAGCACTGACCACCCCTTCTCCATGTCCCACAGCA